ACTATATATTGTTTGGTATCAACAAGAGAAAGATATTGTACTTGACTGATTGGTGGTATAAGTTGAACTAGTCCCCTGGAGGAGGCTTGAGCCCTGAGTTCGAATTCAAGCTGTAAATCTTTTTTAAAAGCGATCACTGTAACATTCACCCAGCATGAAATTGGCTAAACAAAAACAATTGGTAAAAATTTTGTAATTACACACATTTATTAATGTTAGTCTAAAATATATTACAAATTTAATTACATGACGTGACTGATCCAAACTAATGGATACAATTACACTTAATATAAGCTAATAGTCTGTTGTTATTTTTTTTTTAAAGTATTTTCATGTTTTTTCTTGTTACTTCTATGTTTTTACCAAGATTTAGTGGTAACATTGATTCAGTACTAACATAGAATTCTTACTCTTTTCTAAGTAAAAAAGTTTATATACTTTTCTTTTCATCCTTTTAAGCGAGGACTCTTGGATGGAAATTCTGATGATGAGGACTTCTTCTTGAAGTAAGTGTTCAACATTTTCATTGGTATTATTAGTTGCTGTTGCTAAGGAAATGAATTCAATTGGCAGAAAGATTTGTAAAGGTTGGGGAGAACATGAAGTTAGACCTTTAATAGGATTTAGTTTTGACCAGAGCTGTAGGTTTAAATGTATATTGCATTAAGCTTTGAATGATGCAGGTAGAAAAGTGTTTCGCTATTTATTGTTATGATATACTCTACTTAAATGGCTGCCTGGTTGTGCAGTATGGGCGCTGGACTGTCATTCAGACCTCTCTATGACCCCTGGTTTGTACCCTGTCGTCTGCCGGAGGTTTGGACTAGGAAGTAAATTATCTTCAACTCAGAAGAACACCTGGAACAAAATACAATATTTCACAATCCTAGTCTTTTTTAAATGAAGACCAAAATTTATTTATTTTTAATTGTTGGTACGAAGACTAAGCCTACAAACTACAAACATAGCTATTTAAGCTCTATGATTCCACATAAATGAATTTCTTTCTTTCAGAGGGCCTCGAGTTAACACAGACAAACTTAAATCTGACCCTAAAATCAACAGGTAAATGAAGAATCAAATTATTTATTAATTAATTTATTTCTTTTATTTAAAAAAAAATGATTTAACTGCTTCCTTTTGTTATTATTATTATTGTTTGAATTACAGTGTACCTTTGCTAACATAAAATGTCCACACTAGTCCAATCACATTTTAGGCTGTACATCTAATGGCTGATTACAGCCTAGTGCTCAAGTAACACATTTTAGCTTAGATTTTTTTAAATTCCTAATTATCCTTTCTTTGCCTGTGATAGAGTTTGACCTCAAGAACTTAATTTGCAAGAAAAAGTTCAAATTGCATAAAAATTAAGTAGAGACTCAACAGAAAAGAAAGTAAAAGTTTAAAACCTGAAGCTGTCTATTATCATCACCTGCCCTTTGTGTTCTTCATGGGACATAGGGCCGCAGTAGAAACATGCCACTTGCTCCATTCTCTTGGTAGTTTTTTTAAATGGCTTCCCAGCTTTTTCCTGTCTTCTCGGCTTCATCTAGTACACTGCTTGGCCATGTTCTTTTTTGGTCTACGTCTGCTCTCTTGTGTCCTTGGAGTTCCAATTTAAGGCCAGTGCAGCAACTTTTCTTAGCGTGTGGCCAATCCATCTTCACTATTCTAAGCTCTGCAAACTTTAAAAGTAAAACTGTATATGCTAAATAAAGAAAAATGTTTGTGTTTTGTGAGTGTTGTATTTTTGTTGGACAGACTTCATGGGCAAGTGGAGGAAGTTGTGGACATTATGAAGTCCAATGTGAACAAAGTCATTGAGAGAGGAGACCGGCTGGAAGATTTACAAGACAAATCTGGTCAGTGCTAGATCTAACTGTGTATTTTGTGAGAACAGTTCTGTGTTAAAATTTTTGTTTTCCCTTTGACTGTAGGGTGTAACCACCAGGAACTAAAAAATAAAGCAGCTGGTCGTGTAATGGAGAAATACCATCCTATTCAGCATCTTAAATAATAACCTTTTATATAATACATCTTCACTTGTTCAATGCAGGCCTTGATATACACTCTGCATACAGATTTTTAGTATTTGAAGAGGAATGTTCAAGGTCAGATTCAGGAATAGAGCTATAAAAAATTGTTTTCTCTCTACCAGTTGAACGAATGTTGTGAAAGTTGAGACTATATTTCTAAGTACTCTAATGCAATTATGAGTTTAACCTCTCTTGGCCTTGAGATTGGAGCAGTAACAAGAGAGATACAGGTCTATAGTTAATTTGTTAATTCTTTTATTTCTTTTTTCAACAACAAAACCATTTGTTTTCTTGCGCAAATAATTATAAAGTTTTTATTTTATTTTTGTCTTCAGTTTTAAAGTATTTTGTGTATTGACCGCATAGAAATCTTATCACATTTTAGAATGTTTTTAACTTTTTTTCTTCTGTGTTTGTCTCCAGAGAGTTTATCAAGTCATTCAGACATGTTCAGGACCAGATCTAAAAATCTTCATAAAGCCATGTGGTGGAAGAACTGCAGAGTAGGAAACTTTTTTTTTGGGGGGGGGGGGGGGGGGGGGGGCTCTAGATATTTACTAAACTTACTTACTTAGACTTAGATCCTCCTATCCTGTTTGGTGCATTGGGCAGCAAGCTGTCTCCACAAAGATAAAATGTACTCAATGTTTCAAGTTTGCAGTTTCTGTAGCAATTGAGGTTTTACAGGGTAGGGTCGCTAGCCCCAGTACTAAAGGAAAAAAACAATATATCTTTTTTGTTTTTTGGCTGATAGCAAAAAGAAAGGAAAGCTAAATCAAAGATATCTTAAATTCACTAATTTCTTGCTCGCTATCTGTGACTTCTATTTGTATTTCACTCTGCCCAACACAGCCAGTACTTCAACAAGAGTGTATGGTAGTAAGTAAGGAAAGTGACCCCTTTCAGACCTTGTGGTCTTTAGGGGCAGATCCTGGCAAGCTCAACTGTTTCTATGGCTGACAGTTAGCAAGGCTGTCTTGTAGCCATTCGCATTTCCATCCATCCATCCCAGTGGCGCTACAGCCCATGGAGGGCTCTGGCCTGCTTCAAAATATCCTTCCATTCAGATCTTTACTGGGCCTTTCGTCTCCATGCCCTAACCCCAAGCTGCTGCAGATCTGCTTCTACATCATCAATCCATCGCATTTGGGGTCAGCCTTTGGGTCGCCTGCCTTTTGGTTTTTGCCTGTATATGATTTTCGCTCCTCTGTTATCTGAAATTCTTTCAAGGTGACCTGCCCAACGTAGTCTGTTCTTTTTTATTTCACTATTGGTGGGTCTTCATATAATTGATATATCTCATGGTTAGTGCGTGTCCTCCAGCCTGTTTCATCCTGTATGGCACCATAGATTTTCCTAAGAATTTTTTTATTCCCAAGTATTAAGTAAATTTTCTGATGTCTTAGTCAGTGTCCAGGTCTCACGTGCATACATTGCTGCTGGTCTTATTATGGTTTTGTATATTATTTTATCAGTTACCTATTAGAGTTGGGTTGAGTCTGAGGTTTACTGAAATCCCAATGTTCATAATCTTCGTTTTCTTTGTGATTCGTTTGAACTGAAGACCCGTCAATTTGAAAGCCAATTGTTTTACCACTCTGCTAACCCATCCCCAAACTTATAGAAAATTGATTTTTTGGAGTTAGCAAGTATCCATAATTGGTGGAAATGTATATGATAATGATAAAATGGATAATGAAGGGCTAAACAATTTTTGTAATGTATTTAAAAAATACATTAACTGATGTGATATTTCTTTTCAGTTTGACTAACACTCTCCAAACTATTTTGTTTCTTTTCAGATGAAGCTGATCATTGCTGGTGTTGTTGTTGTTATTATTACAATTATTGTCAGTAAGTTGTTTTTTTTTTTTAACTGAAACTCGGCATTAGTCTCTCTTTCTTGCTGTCTGGATGTGTGGTATGTGCTTTGAACTGTCTTTCAATTGTCTCTATGATCCTGTTGTTTTTTTTATTTCTGTCTGACACTGTCCCCTGTCATTATGTTAAAGGTTTGGGCTAGAATGTGACTATGTTCAAATCAGATCTGAAGCATGTAAAACAAAACATTTTAGAGCTCTAGACATTTTCTAAACCCATTTGAGGGAGCATGATGGCTGAGTAGTGAAGAGCTTGGCTTCCGAAATGAGGCATCTTGTGTTTGAATGTCGGTGAAGACTGAAGAAATTTTAGCTTAAGGATTTTTAAGACATACCTGAGTCCACCCAAATCTTATGGGTACCTGACATTAGTTGGGGAAAGTAAAGGCAGTTGGCTACATGACACCTACATCTGCCCTATAGATCGCAAGGTCTGAAAGGGGTATTTAAGTTATTTTTTAACCCAGTCTTACAGTCTAACCACCTCAGCTAAGTTACAGTCTTATAAGTGATGACATGGGCAAAGAAATAAGGATTTTACAATTATAAATATATTTGTAGTAGCATTTGGATTAAGTTGGATTCAGGTTTCCACTCTCTACTTTGGAGTTCTTTTTCTGTCTCATAAAGATGCTAGATTTTCCAATATATTAAATGAGGTCCAATACTTACTTAAAATAAAGGAACACTGATCTTGAAAAAATGTTAGCACATCATTTTCTTTGTTTTAATAGTCAATAATTTATTAATTAAATTGTGCTCATTAGGTAGTTAATTATTCTATCATTTATTTCAATAATTATTCAATGAAGTTTTTTCTTTGTTGTTTAATTCTCAGTCATCATAGTGGTCCAGTATTCAAGCTCCAGTTAAAACAGTCCAGTATGTTGATGGCCATTGTTGAAGGATGCTGATCCACATACCGTTGTTACGATGGATATCCTGGCGACAGAGTTGTGAGTTTTAGGCAGAAGTAAAAAGGAATAAATATTGTTTCAGAGTTTATCAATATTTAATATTTTTGTAATGATTTAATATTTAAAAAATGATTTTCTTTTTCTTTCTACATCTTGAAGTCTATTTATTTTAAAACAGTATTTGTTTCAGTTCTATGTGATATTTGACTTTTTAACTTATTGTACAGCTTTTAAAAATGCGAATGGTTGATAACAAAATTGAGGCTTATCTCAAAGATTTCTTTTTAGTTGTTTGATGAAAGAAAATGCTATTACATGAATTTCCAGTGTGATCCTGTTAAATCAAAGTCACCGGTAATAGAGACTAACTTATAGTATATTTCAGGAATGCAAATAACTGAATAATATGGATATATATAACAAAGTTACTTTCCTTATTGAGTGCAGGATGTTGGGAGTATTTTATTAGACAAAGTGTTTATAATTAAATATGTTTCTTTGCAATGGTTTTCTTGACCAGTTTTTTTTTTTTTTTTTTTAAATCCTGATGCATTGGTATCTTAGTTCCAATAGTACACTCACCCAATAACACCTCATACTTGCCATACATGAAAAACACAAAATGTGATAATAGAGATGAACCAATGTCAGAATTGACTGCTGGCTTTGTATGAGCTTGTGAAATTTGGGATTATCAGGAACTGGTCATAAAGGACTACATATTTTATTTTTTCAGTAAGGTCAAAGAAAGGAAATTAAATGATTAGAATTCAAGTTAAGCAGAATTTTTATTTATGCGAGTTTGAATTATCAGGAATCCCCTGTACGTGAATGCAAAAAATAATTTTGTATTTACAATTGAATTTTGTGTGAGTGTGTGTACATAAATGTACAAAGTTTTGACTCTCCAGTTTTCTTTGAACTTTTGATAATTAATTTGAGGTTTAATGTGTTTCTGCCGAATGGGCAAGTGAATGTTTGATGTATTTCATTCCTAACGGTTGCTCACTTTTGGTAGTTCTAATAAAATGCTGAGAGATATCCTAAAGTCATGAATAGCATTTTGCCAATTTTATGACAGAACAATGGGGGCAAGATCTCACTTTGTGAATGCTGCAAAGGAACAACCACAGGTTTGGTGGATATTTTTATTATGAGGTAGTTTTTTTTTTTGTTCTTTTAATGTTTTGCTTCCATTTTTTCATGTTTATTTTATTCATGTTGAAGTAATAAGGTTACCCTAACTTACATTATTTGTTTTAAAGGCTTAACAAAAAATCAGCTCTTTGAGACTGAACAGCCGTGGCTTCTAACCTTTTTTTTTTTTTTTTTTTTTTTAATCTTTTGAAGTCACATCGCAAATTTAAGTGACCATTAACCCTATGTGACTATACTGTAACGAGTTCATGATAAGGAATATTACGACCTGCGGTAACCACTGCCTTGATACAACCAACATAGATGCATGTTTTTATCCATCACTCTCAGAGCAATGTTGAAAGTCTACAATTAAATGCCCTTGTAGCTAAAACCTCTGGTTAAAAAAACAAGAAATCTGTCCTGGTAATTCCAGGCCTCATTCTGAGCTATGTTCTTCATGCTCCCTTTACCCGTCTCTCTTAAGAAAAGTACTGGAGTTGGGAATTAAAATATTAGCACCTGACATTGTCAGCAAGAAGTAAATGTGATGTTTTTGTGTTGGCCAATCAAGAAACCTTTCTATCACAAAACTAAAGGTGGACTGTCACACATTGGTCTAATGACTTTGTTCAGCCTAATCTGTTCTTCACCTAGAATCTATATCACTAGAGAAGGTTTTCATTCAGTGAAATGTACATATTTTTACCAGCTGTATGTTTCTTTTTTTTGGCTGGGAAAGAATTGTTTTGTATATGTGGTTTTGTTTCTCCTTGTTTTCAAAGCTCATTTTCATCACTCAAGTACCATAATGACTTTCTATCTTCTTGTTTATTGCATAATGGGTTATGCATTTGAATTTTTTATTGGACTTCTATGGTTAATAATAAAAAAAAGAATAAGAATAATACAATTCTGTTGTTTGTGTTTTTTTAAATCAAGTTTGACTTTAAAAATCTTACAAGACTAAACAAAAACACAAGCGTCAGTAAAACATTGAGGATTTATTTCATAACATGATACAAAAGTAGCGGAAGGTGTTAATACAAACCAATATATAAATATCAACAATATAGTGTACCGTGTCCAGTTTTTAAATAAAGTTTCAAGTGTACCAAATCTGACCACATAAATATGAAATAAATACAGCATTGAACATGCATTGGACCACAGATAAACATGAAATATCATATTCAGTGTTAAATCACACCTGACCACATCATTTATGTGAAAAACAAAAATGTTTACCACGCCCCGCGTTAACTATATTGAGCATCAGACAATGTTTTTTTCTTTACACACAACAAAGATATGAGACGACAATGAAACAGTGTTATACAAATGAACTAATATACGTTTGTGATCACATCAAAATACAATGATGGTCTCAAGCAAGTTACAAAGAACTGGGGGGAAAAAAGACAATAATTAGGCACCAATCAGTTCAAACAATTAACTGACATAATAACACAAATATTTGAACTAAGAAAATATTATTACATTAACAATAAGGACAATGAAATGTGCCTGGTTAAAACATCTTTTAACTGGCCATTACAGAAACCATTACTGTAATTATTCTAACTTTTGATTTCTACTCCTATTTACCACAAGTTAAACAGATAAAATAACAGAAACAAAGCATGAGATCAATAACTAGATGTAGAATGGAAACTAATGCTACATACATAGACATAATACTATAACACATAACAAAGTGTGGTTTAGACTTTTAGAGAGGAGATAATTGAATATCCAGCATAGCACATTGACATTTTAACATATATTTCCAGACAAAAGACATTTTTTGCTGTATGACATGCTATGTTTAGCAATGATACTTCTTTGCTGATTGAAGTTTTAAACAAGCAATAGAAAAAATAATACTTTATAAAAACAAAGCTTATCAAAGGGAACAAACCACTAATTTAACTGAAAATTACATGGTTTAGCTCCCATTCTGCTATCTAAAACAAAATTGATTAATTAGTACTAAATGATTAACTAATTGGTTAATTTTTGGATTGATTCATGTATAGTCATTGACTTTGAATAATTATGCAAAATTTCAACTTTACCCAAAATTGGAAGTGGGAGAAAAAAACGTTTTCAAAACATAATAAGGGGATTAATCCATATATACATCCAATCCACATCTGTAGCATTTATTCTTCTTATTTTGACATTAATCTAAATAGTTAATCACCAACAATTAATTAACTAATTGGTTAAATTTATTGATTGATTCATGTCTTGTCAGGTTCAATGAATAATTGTGCAAAATTTTTACCTGGATCCGAGAATGGAAAATGAAAGAAAAAACATGTTCAAACTTTTTAACCAGATAGATCTTGTGAGTTGATATAAGCTTTATAAAAGACAAATATGGAGCATTTACTGTATAAATATTATGGTTTGCAAGATGAGAATCAATTGAAAGCAATAAAAATGAATTAGGTGTTCCATTTTGAAACTAAGAATCCAATTAAAGTTCACTTATTTAAACATGTTATCATTATAGATTTTAAATACTTTAAAATATTTTCATGTAAATGGCAGAATTTTAAAGAACTGTGGCACAAATGCACCTCTGCCCATGTTTACAAAAAAATGTAAATAAAAAAATTATAATATACAAAAGAAATCTACAGTGTTAATTTCTATTCTCTCCCCTTAGCACTATGAGACAGTTTCAAAGAATTCAAACAATGCATTGCTGTTCATGCAGAAAGGATTTCATGAGAACATGAAGTAACAAGAAGAATCAGAAATGTTAGAACAATTGAAACACAGGAAACAAAACTGAAAGCTACAAAATTCTGTAGTAAAAATAAATTGACTATTCCAATTCAATGCTGGAGAGACAAATAAAAAAAACAACATTTAGAACATACTAAATTATTTAAATGATATGAATGCAGTGAATATCAGGAGGAAAACATGACAACATAATCAAACCATTCATTAGCAACCAGATTTCCTGAGGACTTACACAATACAAACATTAAGTAGAGCAGTATGAATACTCTGTCAGAATGTTTGGTCATGTTTTCTAGGCTATGGCAAGCTGATGCAATCTTCGATTGTGATGAAACAAATACATGAAATACAAATACACCACTAGTGGATCCAGAACTTTGGAGGGGGGGGGGGGTGCGCGATTTTTTACAAACTCTAACCCTGACGCCCATTATTCATCCTATTCAAAAAGGACCTTTTGAAAATCTTGAAAAATATTCTAATATGAATTTACAGGCCCTTACTACATTGCAAATACAACGATTTGTTCTTGAAAAAAGATAAGATACCCAACATATTTAGATTAAGACTTTGAGGATCGCTGCCGAAAAAAATATTGCATGTACCTGGTACAACCCTTTTTCATTTTACATTTACTAATGATAAAATTTGAGATCAGAGTCTGTGTGCAACATAATATACAAATGGGTTAAAAAATCAATATATACCTTATATTATTTAGATATTTAACTAATTTTGTTCACAAACTATGATTTCTCTATAAAAATAGGACCCCCCCCCCAACTCAGGAGGCTAGAGTAGGTAGGGCGGTAGAAACAATCCCCCCCCCCCCCCCCCCACCTCACTGAATCGGCTAAGATATCAGAAGTGCAGCGATATATATATATAAATAATATAGTAATATATATAGTAATTCAAATAATTTTGTTCACAAACTATGATTTCTAAATAAAAGTAGGACACCCCCCCCCCCCCCCCCCCCACTCAAAGGGTTTAGGTTAGGCAGAAAATGTATTCGCCCCACCCCAACCCAATGGCTAACAGGGGAACGACATAATATAAAGCTCGTTAAATTATCAATAACAAGTATTAATTATATAGATATTTAATTGTTTCTGTTAACAAGCTATGATTGTTACATATGAATTTGCCTGCCACTCCCCCCACTTGAAAGTTTATGGTGGAGTGGCAGGATTGATGCCATTGCCACCTCCCCATCCCACCAAATTGGTCAACATACTAAAGGGGAGGGAGCAAAATAATCTAAAAATAGGTTGAAATATAAATAATTAGTATATATTATTAACATAAGTATTAAATTCGTATACAAATTGTGTGATTTCTTTACTAAAATTCATCCCCCTTCCCCCCCTTTTGGGGAGGGGGGGGGGTGATTGACCCTACCGTCCCCCTGATCTGCCAGTGACACACACAAATAATGTCACCAGGGCCGGCCTTAGCTAATAGGAGGCCCTAGGCGAAGTGAATAGGGTGGCCCCAAATGAAATAGAAAAACAATAAAATAAGCAATAAACTAGAAATGTTCCTGTATCTATATCTAAATGTAAGTTGAATTCATAGAGCGCCAATAGCACAAAGGTGCTTCATAGGCATGATCAACATTTCACCAAAAGAAAGAAGCAATGGTCTTCTAACATATGTTGTCTAACAAGTAGATCTGAACATTCATGAATGACAGTAAAGACTTAGAGCTAGACTAGTAGACTCAGAGCCAAAGAGTTCTGCTATGTTTGAGATTTGAACCGTGTTGCATTTTGTTTCTCTAACAAAAAATTTCTTTCAGTTCCATTTGAGGCCTCCACCAGTTGGAGTCTCTAGGTGGCAGTCTGGTTAACCTAAGGCCGGCCCCGTTGTCACCATAGGACTAATTTTGTGTTTTGTCAACAAAGTAGAGAATAAAAAAAAATTTAACATTAGCATTCTGTTTTAATGTAGGCATATGGCATCAAACATAATGGCTGTTAACATTCCAAGCTTTCAACCTCTTAGGAAAATAACAACTTTCTGCCCCTTTGACTTGGGACACTTAGGTAAAAGACAGTGCTAGTATTCTATAATGTATGGGGGAGGATAAACAATGCTGAATACACATTCTAATAAAATAAAAAGATGAATTAAAATAGCTTTTGATAATTTTAATATGTGTTAAGCATTATTCCTTTTTTATTTAAATAAAAAATAAATGATATTAAGAACATATGGGTTTAGATGTTTTTACTTCTTTAAAAGAAAAAAGTTTTGGAAGCCCTGATCAAAATACAAAAAGCCAGTAGGCCTATAGTCAGAAAGAAAGTGAGATCCTGTCGCATGAGCTATTGGATCAATGATTGTCTGATTTAAGGCTTGCACACATAACAAAAGGTACATTATCATTATCACTGCACTTGCCTTAAATTAGCATGTAGAATTAACCCTGCTACACAAGTGGCTATATCTAACTCTACTGGGTGGATAGGCATAGGTCAAAGAGTTAAAATCAATGCTTATTAACCTAGACACTTTTCAACTCTTTGTATTTTTTAAGTGGTCAAAGAGATATTAGGCTAAGTAAGCAAAGTTGCATTGATTTTGTCTAGAATTAAAATAATATCAAGGTTGAATTACTATACATTCATAATTGCATTGTTTATAATATCTTTTAGCTTTACCTTGGTTTAGCTAATGGGGATGTCTTTCTCATATATTAAATAAATACATCAGAAAAGTTATTATGTAGCCCCTGTGTTCATAATAGTTATCAACATTCATCTATAAATTGATTGGTTTAAGCTAGAATATTATCATGATAAATACAAAGATAGGGAAAAGATGAAAACTTAATAAATTACCAGTATGTGAGTTACAAATTGTTAAAAATAAAAAAAATTATATTTTTGCGTATGAGCTAAGTGATGCTCACATCAAAACAAGAGAGTTAAGTGGTCAAGAAAACATTCCTACAATAATACGTTAACAATAAAAATTAGGAATATTTTAACACCAAACTCAAATATAGTCACAGAGAATCTATTGTCCAAAAATCAATCTTTTATCAAGGTAGTGAAATTATTGTTAATACTTAGTAAGATGATGTGAGTATTTAACTGTGTACTCAAACATCTGCATTATGGCCTCAGCAATGTTGGACAT